CATCCGGTGTGCCCCTTGGCTTTGATAATCCGCTGCCATGCCACGATTGGTGCCACTGAGACTATCTTGTGCATGAGGTTTTGATAACTGGAGCGGCATGAGCTTGAACAACGAGACACGGGAAACATATCAGGGCACAAAGAAGGGGGGCATAGCAGCTGCTGCAGTTTTCTCCTGCTACTCTCTTCAGAGGAAAATTGGTGACAAACCCCTACGAGTGCTGGACAAGTTTGAGGCTGAAACCTGAGCAGATTGAAACTGCTCTACACCCATACCTAAGCAAAGATAGAGGTTGAATCCACTCTACACACATTTCGACAGGCAAGAAGGCCATGGACAAGGCAAGGAAGGCAAGGTGTCGGCAGGTTCCAGCCACATCTGAAATGTGCCAACTGTGTGAAGGAAGCCCCAGCGGGCAGGATAAACTCTTTAAGAACTTGATCTTAAACCTCCATAATAAACTGCGAGGGCAAGGTAGTATCTGCTACCTAGGCCCTCTAGCTACGGTTACGACCGAAGGTGTCTTTGCGTTGTATGATGCACTTTCACCTACAAAAAACATAAATAAAAAGCTTGAACAGACTTTGTTGGTACGTTATTTCTGTTGGTGTTTCCACTGCTTCGCACTGCCCGTGACACGATCACAGCTGAGCTGAAACTTTCAGCTATTCCACACGCAAAAATCACTTTGAAAACGCGGGAGACCCCGGAGTCACCCTCACGGGGTGACCCACAAGCTCCCCCTGTGTTACCTACAGCTCACCCAAAGACACTGGCGACGTCAGCGACAACCGCCAACTTTAGCGCCCAACGTGGTAACATAATTTCGACCAATCGGAAAATTTTAGAGTTCGAGAGGGTACCCCAAGGTTACCCCATCTTTGGCGGGAAAGTCGATGGCGCGATACTTCTTCGCTTCTCTGCTTCTGCCGAGGCTGCGACGTACGGGATTCCCAGATAGGTTGGTAAGGTACGTACACTCTCTACACCTCTTCTCTCAGCATGTTGGTATGAAATATTACGGTTTAGTTTTATCTGATTTCGTCTTTGTTATCGCATCGCTCAATATGCTGGAATACAGTGATGGGTTGGGTTACGTGGCACATGAAAGATAACGAACCAATCAAAGCTCTTTTAGAGCACCTTCTTCTCTCTCTCTCCTCTCCCTGCACCTTCAGACTACTTATCCACCCTGCTACTTTACACAATCGTCATTTTTTACTTCAACTTCAGCTCATGTCATGATACACACTTTGAACAGCTAGTATGAGAGCCGCTGTACTTGAACAAGAAACAGCTTCTCACGACTAGCGCGAGCGTTTTAACAGCTGTTCACTTCGATTTATTTGACCACATCATCTCGCCGACTTCTCTCATTCTCTTGTGTTGTGCAGCTGTCAAGTTCGTATTAGTTATTTTCTCTCTGCCATGTCCAAAACTTGGCGATTTCTTATGCCATCGGTCATTTTCTAATTGTTTCCTCGAGCCATGTGTGCTGCTTTGTAGGGATCAACTACCGTCATCTCGGGCGCTTTTGTGTGGAGCTCTATATTCCGTTTATGAGGTAGCAAACCCCCCGTATTGCGTTTGTGCTCTTCCGCTGCCTTTTACTAAACTTATCCAATTTGCTCTTTCCTCCAGGCTACTCTCCGTGGCGAGGCTCTTCACGTGTCAAGGCACGTCATCTGGTAATCCGTTTCCTGCTAGCGTGCCGCATGTTCGTTTCGACAGCGTCGTTTTCGACTCCTTTGGCACTCTTTTCGCATTATTCGTGAGGAACGAATCATGCTTGGCGCCTTGTCGCTAGGACGTACCCGTTTTTCTGCTGTTTCTGTTATTCCTGTTTTTTCGCCGTCTGCTGTGTTGCAGGAGCACGCATTGTACTTCCGGTAGTGAGCAATGCATGGAGGGCTTGCCACAGGGAGTTCATAGATTTGAAACGTTCTGTATGTTGGCTTAACACGTTTATCTGCATATTAGTTATACACGTTTATCTGCATGTTAGCAAGCGTTGAAGTATTGATATTTGTTATGCTATGCTGTAGTGCAAATATAACGAAATGGTTGAAATGCCCACACTTCGTAATAAAAGATCTTCTAACGAAATGTACAATTTTAACGATTTTGTCTGAATGTAAGTTGCATGACGCGTATAGAGTCAAACTCAAATGGGCAGACCTGAGGGTGCGTTTATCGAAAATCCTTTTTGTATCACATTTCTATACGCACACGTATCCTAAGACTTTTCGTAAATTCGATACTGTAGCTCATACCGAGTCAGCCTTTAAGCGAGTAGCGAAAAAGTTGACTGATCGATTGTAAGGAATGGTAATTGCGAATGCGCTGGGTGTACCGTTGAGAGCTTCACAGCTTCACGAACCGTTTACTGTACAGTGGGCAGCGGAGCGACGTCTGATTCGCTCCCGCATGATGGGAGGAGTTTCCCGTTGGTCACCACCTGTGGGTGACCCCCTGGTCACCACGCGAAGTGGTTTTTGCCGAGGTGACCCGCGGGTTACCTAGACAAGGACCCCAGGGTATCCCCCCAGGGGGTAAGCTGTGGGTAACCTGGGGGGGGCTTTTTGGGCCAAACTTTTTTGGGATGAATGCGCTCCGCGTCATCGTGGTGACACCTGAGTGTTCCTGCTGGAATGCTCCAACTAACGTCACCAAGACTACATAAGACATGAAAGCTATCAGGGCAATAAATACATGAGAGAGGGTGGGGGTCGAGGGCAGGGGGGGCGCCTCGGGGGACCAACTGAACGCCAACTTTAAGTTCGTCTAGTACTAGAACGAACCTTGGGAGGCTGCAAACGGGACACAGCGGATGGGAGAAACCACAGCGAGAAACGTCAGAAAGAAGAGTAAGCGGAGTCGAATGATGCGTCCCGCGCCTTCCGTTGCCATCGTGGTGCGGCAAGCTTCCACTAAACCCTGAATTAGTAGTAATTTTAATCGCTTGTGAATCTGTGCGTAATCAGTAGCAGTGGTTCTAAGCGTCAATAGAAACGCGTAAATACTTGTGGACGGTAAATAAAGAAACTACTGTATGATGAGAGCCTACTCGTAGAACCTGGAGTGCAGACGACATCAAGTTATGATGAGGAATCCATGAAAGTTAGCTTGAAATGAAGCTAGAGGAAAAGAGAGTGGCAGGAGGAGGTGAGGGTTGGGGATGAAAGTCCACTTTCTTGCCAAGATCGCTTTGCAATTTCCCACGTGCCTGCGACAGGCCAACATAGCTGACGAGCGTCAAATTCGCGAGTTGCGGCAAATGCGAAAATATCGTCAAGTTGCCCTGCTCTGGCGAATTCCAAGGCGATACGAGTTTCGGTGGTGGCGTTTTATGCCAACAGGGCGCGTCGAGCCACCGAAAATCTCGCCAGGTCTGCGAGTCAGAAAGATAGGACAGCGCTCCCTGTTTGACGAACACGACCTCTTCATTCGCTCGCGCAATAACGGAGCGAAACAAACAAAACCCACACGACTACTACAGCAAATGACGAATGATTCTTCCAGCATACCTTAAGCCTACAAACATGTTTGGAAAATCGAAATATGGTATAAACGACCCGCGCCTGGTGACATGGTGAGCTCGCCGCTCATTCCGCGACCTACCTTACCGCGACCTAGAACTGTAAAGTGGTCGCTAGGCTAGTGATAAGGTAGATTTGACATACAGTTGACGGTTCAACAGAATGGGCCTCTAATAGCCATGATTGCTTCATCTGCCCTTCTTCCGTAGCTTCTCTGATGTAATTTCGAAGGATAGTCGAAACCGGAACGTCACTTTGCTAGATACCGTATAAGCTGACTTAGCAATAGCACTAGTAACACTGCTCACCGCAATCCCTAATGTTTTCCATGCGATGGTAAGTCGAGCGAGGGTCACGTGCGTCGCTAGCTGCTCCGTGAGCGCCGAGAAATTCCGAATGGCCTACCAGTTGTAGCGCCACGCGTATTGAGAGAGGCGGCGTCACGAGCATCGCAGGCATCGCAGCGAGTCGAATGGCGTCAATTGACGATCAACGGAACCGTCAGCTTGCCTTTGCTGAGAATTTTCGAGTCATAATCGTTTCGATGCTGCTTGGGGGGATTGTGTTCCCCCCTCTTTGCTCCTCTTCCCATGCATGTTCCCCCTGCTTCGCACCAACGTTTGCTGTTTCATTCTGTGCTTTGTTGTGCGTTCCATTTCTTATGTACCCTGCTCTCCTCCTCCCCCTCCCCTTCTCCCTGTTTCCCCTTTCTTTCCCCTCCAATCCACCTGCCTTCCCGCCTCCTCATTTCTTCTCCCCACTCCCTCCCCCCTCCTTCATGCGACCTGCCATCCTCTCACGGGCCACGACAACCTGCTGGAGAGGATGGCAGGATTGCAGGATGGCAGGGCGACAGGGCGGCAGCCATGCACCACTCGCGTTTGCAGTGGGTCCGCGCAGCCATGTCGATCAGAAAACCATGGCGTCGCCTTAGCAACTGACCAGACGGCCTTAGCGTTCTGTCAAGTGGCCGTCGGCATTGCCTTCCTCATCGTCACTTTCAGCACTGGTGGGAGAATTGACTTCTCCCGACCTCCTCCTCTCCCCTGCTCTTCAAGGAAGCGCGTTCTCCCGCGGTTAGATGACTGACGCCTTCCTCGAGGTGGGTGAGAGGGTTGGGGAGAGGTGGGTGCGGGAGAGGGGAGTTGTGGGTGCGGGGATAGGGCTGGGGGGTAGTTGGGAAGGGGCTGGGAGATGGTTAGTCGTGGAGGGGGGTCGGGGTGGGGATGGGGGAGGGGGGGAGGGGGGGGGGGGGTGAGGGGGCATGGAGAACGAAAGAGGGTGTTCCCGCGACGAGATCGGACGGCTTCCTCGAGGTGCGGGAAAGGGGCGGGGAAGGGGTGGGCGTGGGGGAGGGGAGATGTGGGGGCAGGGAGAGGGCTGGTGGCTGGGAGTGGGCTAGGAGAGGGGAGAGGGGGGGAACAAGAGGGGAGGGGGAGAGTAGGGAGAGGGGTGGAAGGCATGGACAAAGAAATCGGGTGCGTTCGCAACAAGATTGCAGACGCATTCCTCGAGGTGCGCCGCGGGAGAGGGGGGGGAAGGAGGGGGGGGGGGGGGGGGGGGGGGAGGTGGGAGTGTTGGGTTGGTTGGTGATGAAAGTGAGAGGGTTGTGCAGCGAGGAGAAATGAGTGACGACGGGGATTGCTAGCAGTCGTTTTTCGCTCGAGTCCCAACCCAACCCCTCTCACTTCTCCACTCTCCGCCACCCGTGCTACATTTATCGCTCAAGTGTGCACACATTGTGCGACATCCCCAAACCTTGGTCTCCCTGCCTGTTCCCCTCTGCGCCATTCCCACTCTTTCCGCCTTCCTGAAGGTGCACCGGGGAAGATGTGTGAGGACTTGTGCCAGCAGTAGCAGACGGCATGTTGCTGCGCAAGCTTGGTTTGGGTTGTCTCAAAGCAACCAGGCCTTTTCTCTCCCCTCTGTGCCTGACAACCTCCGTCACCCTGCCCCTCCGTGTTCCCGTCTCCACCCCCCCCCCCCCCCCCCCCCCGCTGCAGGTGTGTGTGTGAGTGTGTGTGTGAGGGCTGTGTGCCAGCAGACTGCATGGTGTTGTGCAAGCTGGTGTCGAGTCGTCCCCTCCTCCCCCCCAAACGCCCCCCCCCCCCCCCCCCCCCCCCCCCCCTCTTCTGCCCCCTTTCACCCCCGCCAAGTGTGTGAGGAGGACCATATACCAGCAGTAGCAGATCGCATGGTGCTGCGCAAGCTGGTTCCAAGTTGACCCCTCCTCCCACCTCTTCCCCCTTTCTCCCCCCGCCAGGTGTGTGAGGACGTGTACCAGCAGACCGCATCATGGTGCTGCGTAAGCTGGCGCAGGACATGCGCGAGTGGATACACCGGCGGGTGAGCCATGGGATAAGGGGTGATTGTTATGGGATGGTGCCGGTAAGCAATGGGGGGGGCCGCGAGGAGGGGAGAAGGGGGATTAGAAAAGACGGAGGGATAGAGGGTGCTGGCACAGGACATGCGCGAGTGGCCGGCCTGCGGGTGGGCGAGAGGGGCAGAGAAGGGGGGGAGGGAATACGGGGGATATGGAAGGAAGGGTTAAGAGGCGATGGGGGGAAGAAGATGGCAAGGGTTCAGGAACGTGAGGTCTATGAAGCAGGATGTAGGGGCTCTCTCCTCTGCTCTTTGTCACCCCATTCTTCCCCTAACCCTCCCCCCCTCCCCCTGCACGCCTCTTTCCAACGCCTCTTCCCCACTCCTCTCGCCCACACCACTCCACCACACCTACTCCCCACTCCCTCTCTCCTACCCCTCTCCCCCACGCCTTTCCCCCACGCATTTCCCTCACCCCTCTCTCCCACCTCTTTCCCCCATGCATTTTCCTCACCCCCCTCTCCCCCCCCACCCCTTTCCCCCACGCATTTTGCTCACCCCATTCCCCCACCCACCCCCTTCCCCCACGCAATTTTCTCACCCCTCTCCCCGTTCAAGAGGATGCTGATTTAAGAGTGAAGGTTGGAGAGTGCAGGAGGGTCTTGCTGCTGTAGTACAAAAGCCTGCCAGAAGTCTTGGGTTCCTATTGGGCTGCCAAGCACTTTGACGCCTCCATCGCCTAGAGGCGGGAGGCTGGTGATGTTGGCAGCCCCTCCGGCCGAGACCCAGTGGGTCACTTTGGCGGACACTTTTGGAGCTGAGAAGGGTGTGTGCAGGGTTCTGGCGCAGGAGCAAGTGGGGAGGGCTGCCTGTACGTGTTGATGATGTACGGTGAGGAACCTTGGAGAGCTAAGTTCCGTTGGGGTCTCCAATATGCCATGCGCCCAACGGAGTCTACAGGTTACCTGCAGCTGCTCGTCTCTGTTGCTGGTCTGTGTGTGCCCATCGCACCCAGCTCGCCAAGAAGACCTCTTTCTCTCAGAGCTTGAGGAAGGGCCCGCATGGTTCGGGCTCACACCATGATCACATCAGATAACCACCTCAGTATCCCATGATCTCATCACCCCAAGATCGCATCCACCCCATGGCAGAGCACCGTGGCAGGGTGCACTAGGTGTGCTGAGTGCAGCCGTCACTATCCCTTCCCCTTACACTTTCCCATTTCCACCCCTTTCTCCCTTTCCCTCCTGTAGCCCCTCCGATTCTCCATCCCGATTGCCATCCGCACCTCTCCAGGTGAACACAGTGCAGCAAGCAGCGTCCATCACACTGCTCCAATCCGCCTATCCTGCATCACCTCATTGCTCTCTCTTGCTCCCTCTCACCACCCTTCTCCCCTATCACCCACCAGTGTGCATAGTCCTGTCAGTAGCATCCACCCCCTGCCATCTCTACACCCACACATTGATCAGCAAGCCCTCATCTCTACACTGAGGTGAGTAGTGCGTTGTATCGAACCTGCTTCTACCGAAACGGGTCTCTCCTCTAATTTGTGATCTGGCTTGCTGCCACTGCCATTGGCAACTCATCATCTCTCGTGTCCACCCATCAATTTGGAGGAGTCAGTCTCATGGTCTTATTGCTTCATCACACGTTCACCCCATCCACACAGCACCATCCCCATTACCCCATCAACCAATCAGACCATCACCTCTTCACCCAACCAGCTCTTTGCCTCATCATCCCATCACCCCATCACCCCATCCCATGATTGGTGGGGCGCATGGTGCAGGCCGGTGGTACGGGTTGGTGGTTTGCCGTCCACAAAAGTGAGGAGCTGCCCTTGATCTCCCCTACCTTTCCATTTTCCCTTCAATCCCAACAGTCCCTATTTTGCAGGCGCAGAGCCAACATCGCCAGCGTTAGAGCAGTGAGCTGTCTCAACAGTGGACTGGCTCATTCCAATTGGGCGCCTTTCCACCAGGCACTGAGCTCTGCTAGTTCTCAGCCTTCATCCTCCCTGCCTGCCCTGCCTTCCCTTCCTTCCCTTACCACCCTCGACTACCATTACCAACCCCTACTCTGCAGGCAGTACCCGGCAGGTGCAAGGCCAAGATCCCCACTCTCCTCACCGTCGCCTTCATTGAAACCTTGGGGACCTCTGGCACTTGGCTTTGCCTCGTCCCAGCCTTCGCCATCCTCGCCCTCGCAATAGAGAGCAGCTCATTGCTCAACGATGTTGATTTCTGATTTCCGCGATTTGTCATTGCGTGGATGCTGCTGAATGGAAGTCTGCTGCTGCTGCTCTCCAAGGGTGGCGGCATGATTTTGTCCTTCTTGCCCATTGATCCCCATTTTGAGAGTGTCAAGTCGTTCTACTTCTAAACAGCAGCCGGCTAGTTATGTTGTCCAGGAGTGACGGCATGTTCCTGTTATTATTACCCACGGATCTCTCCGACATTTGACCATCTGGCATCAATGCAAGAACTTCTCTTTGGTGTACCGATGCAGGGAGGGGAAACAGATGAAGGTGAAATGGAACACAACTAGAGGGGATGGATTCTCGCCTGACTGCCTCCCACCGACGCCACCACCAACCCCACCAGCAACCGAGGGGAAAGGGTGGACTCGTTTGCAGCGGACCTGGCTGTATGCATCTGGTCAATCTGAGAAGCACTTGATATAATTGGTAACTTCATTCAAACTAGCCCAATTTTGCATTTTTGGCAAATAAGCAGTGCAGATATAACTTGGGACAAACAGAGAAAAAAGGGTATCACTTTTTGAACTTTAAAAGGTCCTCTTTAGACCAGGGGGACTCACTTTCCGGTTATATCCAGAAAAACAGCCGCATCTTGTCTAGGTTGCGGAACCTGCCATTCTGATTTGATCAACGGAACTCATGCTGGTGGATAGCAGCACATGTGAGGATAAGCTGGAGTCTGGGGTGCCGCGGTGAGAGAGAGGATACGCGGGGGAGCGATGATACGCTGGGGGGGCGGACGAGTAGAGCGAGGCGGGGTGGTGCAGCAGCTAAAGTTGCTCGGAGGGCCTGCCCGGGTGGTGAGGGAGGAGCTCATCAGTGAGCTTTTGCACCTGATGGCCTTCAGACGACTTTTGAGTCGACTCAAAAGGCAGCTAGAGTTGGTCCGAGGGCCTGCCCCCGGGTGGTGAGGGAGGAGCTCATCACTGAGCGCGTGCACCCGATGGCCTTCAGACTCACGTGCCTTGTTGCGCGACAGCCTGCCACACAGCACAAAAACGCACGAGCGCACAAGCGCACACACAAACACACGCGCACGCACGCACGCACGCACGCACTCGTACACACACACACACAAACAACCCCCCCCCCCCCCCCCACTCCCCCCTCCCCCTCCCCCTCTCCCCCCCCCCCCCCCCCCCCACACCCACACCCACCCACCATGCAGAAGGCGAGGACGCCCCCCACGGGCATGACGGCGAGGGTCCAGAGGGCGTGAGGCCACGTGTCAAAGTAGGGCAAGGAGGCGAGCGAGGACCACGGCTCGTGCAGCAGCGAGAAGATGCCGCACACAAGCGCCATCACGGGCGCCAGATACTGCAGCAACGTGAGCAGCGGGTTGGTCAGGCCTGTTGGGGTAGAGGGAGGGCGGACTTGCGGTTGGTGGGAGGCAAGGGGAACTAGGAGGACTGAGAAGGAGATAGTGGCATGAGGATGGCGTGACCATAGCAAATATGCGAGGAAGGGTGAGAAACCGGAGGATTGTGGCGTGTGGGAGAGCAAGCACAGCACACAGGCACTGTGGAGCTGGGGCTGCACCCGGCAATATGAGGTGAGTGAGGAGGAAGGGGCAACGCGACAGATGCTTACCATGTGTGTCCCTCTGTCACCAGTAGAAGCGATGACAGCGTGGTGAGATGGTGAGTAGATGTTGTGAACGTAAAGGGTAAACAGGAGACGAAAAGAGTGGGTTAGTCGGTTGATGCAGCAGCACACATAGCAGCACAACAGCAGCACAGCAGCACACAGTAGCACAGCAGCACACAGCAGCATACACAGCAGCAGTGAGCAGCGGCTTACCTGGAGGAGCACTTGCAGCAGCACCCATCGGAGACCCGCCATGAATGAGGCCAGCATGACGAGGATGAAGCCCAGCAGCTCAAACTCCGTCTCCCCCACCACTGGGAGCACCACACGCCACTCGAGGGCACACCACACGGAATGTCAAAAGCGCGAATTAAGTCAAAGAACTCTGCTCGACGCCCATGTATAAATCAGGCGTTGCGTTGCAATGCTGATTGGGGGGTGGAGCGCACGGAAATGGTAGTGATACAAGAGGAAAACTGAGGCACGGTAGAAAAAAATGTTGGATGGTCATCGAATTACCCTCCCAGCCCCCTCCCCCTTCCGTTCTCCCTTCCGTTCCCCCTCGCCCCCCCCTCCCCACCCTATGCCGAGCACGCCGACGGAGATGATGAGCCTGGTGCCCACCCATGCTTCTACTCTATGCATCGCAACGTGCTGTGTGTGTGGAGCGCACCCAAGTTTGAGTGCCACACTGGACCTTTTCTGCAACGGATAAGATATCACAAACACTTTTGAGTACACCCACGCTTGAGCAAACCCCCGTAAGCGGATCATTTTGACCAAGGAGACTGCAGTGAATGAAGCGGATAAGATATCGCACAGTGACGACGAGGGAGAATAAGGGCAGGACAGCGTACCATGGAGTAGAAGGTCCGGGTGACGAGCGCGAGGGAGAAGCTGGAGAGGGCAATGTCAAGCGATGTGGCCACTGCCGTGGGCACCACTGCATGCACGGGGCAGAGCACACAGGGCACAGGCCAACACACGTTTAAACAAGTAAGCATCCATTAGAAAGCCGCCTGAACCGAACCAGCCTCAATGGACAAATTGCAGAACGTGCATGCACGAGTTCCTGAGCGCGCCCATCCCCATTCTCAATCCCTCCCTCCCACCCACACGGCGATCCTCGCACGAAGTAGTCACGCCAGGAGATGGGGGAGGCGGGCAGCCACGAGTGGCAGCAGAGGTGACTTTTGAGGCGACTCAAAAGTCAGTCGACTAGAAACACTTTCGAGTCAACTCATCAAGTTACCTCACACAAAGTAGTCGCGCCAGGAGATGGCATTCACGAGTGGAAGCAGCAGTGAGGCGATGGCACCCTGCACGAGGAAGTGCACGGTGGTCATGAGCAGTGGCGCTGGTAAGCGCCGGTGCTTCGCACCGATCAGCACCTTGTTGTACCTGCCTACCCACCCACGGCCACCACCGCCCCGCCACCTACCCACCCACCCACCCATCCATCCACCACCGCCCCGCCCGTGCGTACATGCATGGCGATGTGATAGTGCAATGCATGGCGATGCGATAGTGCAATGCATAGCGGGAGTGCACAGGTACAGCAGGGGGCGATAAAGGGTTGGTTGCAAGGGGAGATACGAACGGGCAAAAGGGCCCTTTAGATGGATGGCCAGCCCAGTGAGAAATTTGATCACGCACTGGGGGAGTGGCAACTACAGGGAGGGTGGCTACACAGGAAAAGCGACATGCTTACAGGGAGCGCGGCATGCTACAGCGCCATGCTTAGAGCAGCATGCCTACAGGGAGAGCGGCGTGCTGAAGGTGTGCCAAAGCAGCACGAGCAGCACCACCTTACCCGCCGACCACATCTACGGCGCGCACCATGGCGACACGCGCAACGCCGATGCTGACCCAGCAACGTCATCTTCCAGGTCCGCTGGCACGATAACATCTTCGCTATTCGCCATAGGCCGACTCGATTCCGTGATCGATTTGACCTGGATGGCATTGCTTGTGGCAAGTCGCGGCGAGAGCAGCGCTTGGCTCTCATTGGTCGACATGATGGCGAACAGGAACAGCTACGATGGTCAACCCTAAACTCCGCACTGATGAATTCTCGTGGCAGGGTGGCGTGGAGATTCGATCATAGCTCTCAACGCGAAGAGATGGACGAACGCGACTGAGTGTCGCACACAGGCATCGGAAAAAAACCGACGAGTGTGTTGGGGTGGGTTGGGGAAGTTTGGGTTAATTGTGATGCCTTTCCTTCAGTTTCCCGTCCACCTCGTAGATAGTAGATGGGTTGTTCCCAAATAGACTGTGGATCGTACCTGCTGTGGATCAGGGGATTGCGTCTGATTACACGCGTCACTGTAGAGTCTGGTTCAGCACGTTCGAACTTGGTTGCAGCCGTGTTGTCAATCGCAGTCAACACTGAGTATGAGCGGGAGTTGGCGTGGATCATCGTGACTGCGTGCACGTGTTTTCAGTAGGGGTCGTTTGTATCGCTGTGTGGCAATTTAGAGTGCACCTTTGTCCATCCAGGTCGCTCTGGCGAGTCGATGACGAAGGGGTTACTTTGTCTAACGAATTGTTAATAAGAGCTAGAATCGAAGTAACATTTCGTTACTGTTCGCATGCCCTGTGATTATAGTCGGGTTTATATATGATAACATTGTGGTACAGTGACTGTACTGTATTCAACATCCAGATTGTTTAAAATATTAAATAGTGTGTTTTTGATAAATCAATTCAATAGCTACAATTGTTCATAAGTATACGGCTCCAGAGCATTTTACAACACATTATTTTAGAGATGTATTAGTATTAGGATTTGCATTGTAACCCTAGCAGTCATGTAATAACCACTCCAACCTCATGCTAAATAAAATACTCTTAGCATCCAATTTCCTAGGGTAAACCTGCAGGGAACACCTGAGACTCATAACCCTCAATCAATAGCTTCACGTTGGGGGACATCCTGAAGCCAGCAGGAGCTACCGGGTCCCAGATCGCGGTGTCTCCGTTCTCGTATGTCTCCCTAATCCAGGTGACTAGGTGCCCGATCTTTACCTCTACATTCTGCTGGTTCACGGTCTCGGAACCGTCGAGTGCAGGGTTCACTCGCCCTCTGGCATTTGCCAGAGGCCATTCCACCTGCATCAAGAAAAGCAACCAAAATGAGTCTTCACGGACTGGCGGTTATGACCTGAAACCCTCCTCTGGAATAGCGACTCACTCACCACATTCAAGGCGTAGCCAACTGCAGGGAATTTCACCATGATCGTTGTCGCCTTCTTGCTCCCAAAACCGCGCAGCAGGACGAGTTCGAATGCCCGGTTGGCAAACGGCCTACACGTTGCAGCGTTGAAGTGCCAGTTGGAACCAAAGCGTGCTGTTAAAACAAACAGGAAACGATGGTTACGAACAATACACGTTGCTGCAAAATACAAAAGCATGGCATTTAAAGAGGCCTTGGCATTTAAAGAGGCCTTAACAAACAGACGACGACACACGTACCATGAAGGTAGAACAGGGTCCACTCCGAAGGGGACCTGCTGCACTGCGGCGCCACTCCTTCGTCCGCCAACTCCTTCCATTTACTCTCTGGGACGCACCCGCCCGGGCCGCGCCCGTAAGTCTTGATATCGCCGTTGTAATTGCTCCGCCGCTCTGACGCCTTGCGCATGGCCAGGTTTTCCTTTCCAGGGAACATGCAGATGACATAGTAGAATATGTCCTTCCCCACGCCAGCTTCCGCGTACTTCTCTGCAATCATTTCTCTCAGCTCGGGCCACAAGGGGTAGAACTTCATCCTCCACGCAGGCGCGGCGGTCGTCATGAACGTGAAAGCCTCGAGCGCCTTTTTCTACAGTCGGGGCATTCCGGGTGACAGTGTTAATAAAAAGAAAGACAGGGAGATGCGATTGCTTAAACATTATCAAACGATTACAGGAAGTATATCCTATCTCAAAACAGAACCGCGAACAAACTCACCGAAAACAAATGGTCTTGTTCAAGTGTTGTAGGGACCAAGATGCTGCCGTTCTGGTCACGTGGTAACTGCTGCAATTTGAAAGACGGGATCAGCGCCAAGTTCAGGGTTTGCCTTTGCTCCTCGCCGTTGTTGATGATTTGCTGCCGAAGTGCAACGACTAGAGCGGACAACTCGTCGTAGCGCAGATTGAGCGCTACGTATGCAGCCTCCTTATCGTCCAGGGCGATTTGGAGGTCGAGTGCGCGCTCTTGTGTCAGCTTGAGCGTGGATTGCAGGTCTTCATTCTCAGCACGAAGACGAAGCTCTGCTTGTGTTCTCACCGAAGCAACTTCTGTTTGTGGAAGAAAAAAACAAGTGCAAGGTGCGGGATAAGACATCGGCAGGCATGGCGAGGAACAACATGACAATAAATGCATGTTGAGTTGCGGTTGAGCTTGAAACTATACTCGCCAAATACGAACCTTAGTTAAATAACAGGAAAGGGAGAAGACTAACGGGTTCATACCTGTGCGAGCCCGAGAGATAACTGGGAGGCCGTGAGCGTTAAGATGCTCCACGACCTCAGTGGCGCCTTCTGCTGCGTCTTCTAACGGCCCAGTCAGATTAAGGGCCGAGGGTAAAATTTCTGTTACGGTAGGTAGAGTAGCAGCCGTAGTGACTGGCGGAGCAGGGATGGGAATAGCTGTTCCACCGTTGTTACTCGTCTCTGCCATGCTGCCCTTTTTGGCTTTCTTACGCAACAACTCGGCAGGCAGGATGCCCTGTGCCTTCATGGCTTGCATCCACTCGACGAGCTCCTGGAACTTCGCGACAGGTTCGTCGGAGTCGCTTTCGATCGCCGTGTCGTCCAGCACTGCACCATCTCGCCCGAGTGTAACCAGACCCGTTTGGTCGTCCGGTGCCAACAATCGTTTCCCGCCACAGGCTGTACCAACCACACCAGACATAACGACGCGTTTGCGACTGACTAGAGTCGCAGACGATAGATGCGGCTGTTTATGGTTGGTGAATGGCTATTTTTTTCTCACGAGGTTTGCCACGCATATGCCTCACCTGTTCCAGCTGGCAGATTACATTGACGGTGATTGGACGACTCCGTCCTATGCGGAAAGAGTGCCTCGTGGCATTGCGTCGCGCGTCAACGTGTTTACATGGTTTTGTTTTGGCAGCCACGGTATTTTACTGTTTCGCTGTCGGGAAATTTAGGTAGTAATGCATCCCTGCCCGTATTTCCGCAGTTTTGCATGTTTCACGCATTTCGTTCATATGGGGATGATTTTTTTGGAAACAATTTTTTTTTCCACGCGTAACTAGAGATTACCTACCACAGGAAAATGATGAATGAATGCGTACTAAAATCAAAAAGGGCCACGGGCCCATGGCGCGAACTAGTAAATGCAGTCCCACAGTCCAACTCACACGCAACCCTATCGCACGCTAGCAGCTATATGCTGCGCGTCGCGCCCGGCAGTCAATCCCATCCACCCACCATGGTGGTTCCTTTGTTGTCGCGTGCCACCTCAGCATGTCACAAATATATTCATTACACCTGATGCTCGTTAGAGCCCCTCCCGGTTGCCTTGTGAACTGGGACTGTAAGCTAAACCTGCATTTCGCGGGCATTCGTGAATTTCGTCAGGCGCCCAGCGTGCTTCAAAACTGATCATGGTAACCACCCTGTTTGTCTCATTTGCAACAGTAAGGTGTTGCAGCACTTGTCCATGTTGTGTGTTTATGGTTACTAAACGAACGCTACAGTACCGAAAGAAGCATGCACAACAAATGTTCTTCATAGTACAAAACAGGTAAAACATAAACACCTTCCAATCAACATCCTCCACCTGGGAGCTCATCTCCATTCAACACACAAAACGAAACACACACAAATGTGCAGAAGGAGTGAACACTTGGGCTGTCAACAAAATGCATTCGACACCTTGCGAAGTCTGCTCCACCACCACCCTCACAGACGCATCCACGCCAGCGGGCCCTGCGTTTGCGATCCACCGCGTCATGGCCTGCTCCAGCTCAGGCCATGCGCCACCTCGACGTCGCATTTGGTTGTCGCCACCTGCCGTGACATCCCATAGCTCGGCGCTCTTCAAGATGCGGCCGACAGTGGAACGATCTGGGCGCAATCCGTACTGCGAGTAACACCACCTCGCCAGGTCGACATGACGCAGGCAGGGGTTGTCTACGTGGTGCACGCAAATAGCGCGCTTGATATGCAGCGGGAGCTGCTCCCGTCGGTTAAAGCGGGGCATTGTGAGCGACTGGGGTGTAAGAGACTGTAGTGACTTAGTGAATTAGTTGCACACATTTTATCATCACAGGTCGGACGTGCTGGGCAAGGCTGGGGCCTGTTCTTTGTGGGATGTCACATTTGTGTGGTTGGTGTTCGTTCCATGCACCTGGCTTGCATTTTCTAGCAACTCGTGTGGTAACCACACCCTCGAATGTATGACGTGGGTCGGGCGAACAACGCCTGGCTGGTAATGCGCTTGTACCTTGCGGGTCCCGACATACACGTGGCAGGGTTATTCTGACCAACTGCCTGTTACACGCACGATGATCCTTGCTCAGGTGGCGGCCTAGATGGGCGAATGCGTTCACGAAACCATAGTCGTTTCGTCCATTCATTTCGCCTCCCTGACTCCAGGCCTAGAAACCAAGGAAATGTGGGTTGGTGTGGCTTGTTTGGGAATGAACGTGCATTGATGGCCGAGTTGCGTGTACTGTTGCCAGCCACCCATGTGCCTGTACTGTGGGAGCAACAAGCAGGGGTTTCCAGCTCGGGTGCAGCGTTTCTATCCGGTGCATGGCAATTTCGCGTGCACTGGTCGGGCATCATGTGTACAAACAACAATTTTCCCAACACGATCAATAGTGATAGGAACGACTACATTACAATACAGGCCCCCGTTTTGCACTTTCATGCTTTCTTTCTAGATGAAGCCCTTACTAGGCCCTTAAGGACTTGTTGGTTGTGATCATGCAGCAAATATGACGACTTGTTTACATTTTAGGATTGTGTTGTACGCAAAGCAATACGACATTGTCTATGCGTGTACTGCCTTAAGTTTCAACATGTCAATCACTATGGTTTGAAGTGACAAAATTGGATTATCCATTATTATCCTACGGGTTACTAGTTTAGAACATGAACTTATTAACTAGCCACACGTCCTCGCATGGCGCAGTCCGGACCAGCTCTACCGCCCGTAGGATACTGGTTACTGCAATGACACTATAGCGTTGCGACGAGTCAGCCCAAGTGAGAGTTGTGCACTTTGTAGCTATGTCTCTGGAGGGGGCTGAGTCATAGTACTTTATGAAAGCATATGGCACCAGCAATCTCCCAATGCGGACCTCAAACAGTATCAGCAACTTAGCATACCATTCGAGAGGCTCTGCATCGTCACCCTCCCCAACAACTGCGATGTTGGAGAACCATGGCCGACCATAGAACATCGGCGCAGCACGAACGTGATGAGGTAGGCGGCTAAATGCCGCATCGATTGCAGCTGGCATGGCCAGCCCGTTGTGGATCTGTGAGTGTAGTTATGTTGCAGGGGAAGGACGGGATAACGAGTATGTCAGAGAGAGAAGGAAGAGCGGTGAAAGAGGGATGAGATGCCACCATTTTGTATAGCAACAAAAGGGGGAAAGAGAGAGGAGGGGGATGAGGTGGTAGGTTCAAGGGATCATCTTACGTGGATGGTGTCGATGCTACCTCCAGAGCATCCAGGTGCCTCATTCAAAGCTCCCCGTAGGAAGCGAAGGTCCGCAGATAACGCCGTCAAGAACTCGCTATCTCGGTCAGCATCAGTTGTCAACGGCACCACGAAGGGTGCCACTAGCCGGTTGGCAGGGACCAACAGCCTCCAACTCTCTCGAGTCATCACCCTTTCACCCGTCCGTTGAGCCTGCAGGCATGATCGTGTATAATAGGAATGAGTGTTATATCTACGAGTTGGAAGGTGTACGACCAAGTCTGCTATGAATAAAGTAGGACTCACCTCAACCATGCACGTGTCGTAGGCTTTACGCTTGCCGAGAACTGGTGCAATGGAGTCCAGCCGCAGACGCATCACCTCACTATTCATGATCTGTGCAGTGGCCGTGCGTCGGTTCGATGCTCTGTAAGGGTTCTTGATGTACTCGATGTGCAGGTGCTCAAACATCTGTGTAGAGTAGTGCTCTGGCAAGCCAGCACGACGGATCGAGTCAATGTAGTGGCTAATCAGGTGCATCTTGATGAAGCGCCACTTTGACGTCTGTAGAGGAAAGGCTGATTTTAGGGTGAAAATCAACCTGCCATACAATGGTGATGGTGGGGGAAAATATGTTTGAGCAGAAAAGGCATTGGCTAGAATCCCATAGTGGTAGTCTTACGTGTGCAACAACATATTGCATGCACGCGCTGCATAGTATAGTAACACATGGACATACCTTTCGGCCTTGTGCTTCAAATCACGCAGCGTCTCTGTCGTATGCTCACTGGCGCGGGCACCGTAGGTGTACCAGTCAATGTAAGTTGCAATCGCGTCCAACTGCGCCTGAGGGACAGTCGACTCAAAGCCACGCACTAGAAAAGGAAGGACTTGCATGACACTCCTATGCTCATACGCCTGATAGCTCGCGCCTGAGGAGAAATACTCGCCCCCAGGCAGGCGCATGAATGGGTTGCGGTTGTGCTCCCGCAAGTAGGCCATTCTCTCGTCGGCCTCTTTTCTTTGGGCGATGGTGAGTTGTGTACGGAAAAAATCAATGATGTGCACAAGAATTCCCAAATCTGCCTGGTGCATGATATCAGGCATGACACTCAAATAAGGGTTCAAAATAGGAATAGATGACCAACGCCAACCCCACAGAAAACAATTCACCGGATGTGTTGACATGCTTGACACGCCTTTCGGAAACAACCGCATTTGCAAAAGCGAGGTAATGCCCTTTTGCATATGTGGAGTACGAGGGACAATTCGAGGCAATAGTTTGTTGGTCTCAGCAACAGGGACTGTGCACAACGAGCATGGGAAGCCTGTGGCCCCCGATTTTGTGCAAGTCACCTTGCACGACTCCGGATAGTCACATGCGTATGCGTACAAACCAGGCCACGCGTTGTACGTGGCACCAGTAGGGTCCTGGACCCTCACTCCGGTGTGTGAGGCCTTTCGCAATGGTTCCATGACCATTGAAAGGATGTGTTGGAAAACAATCAACTTGTCTAGCGAATCGTACTGAGGCGTGAATTCAGGTAGCAAAGCAAGCAGTACATGGCCCCATGGCTTCCAACGGTCATGCTTGTCGATGTTTCCTAGTGTCAGGTACACTGGATGACCCTTGGCCTTGCCTCTTTGGTCCATATGTGTCTCGTCGCTCGACAATATCAGAGCAACCACGACCCCGTCCGGGTCCACTTTTTTGACCTCATTGTGCAAAGTAAACCACCAATCCCCGGATTCGGGTGATGAGAACACATGTGTCTCACCGGGGATGCGCGAAGTGGGTTTAAGAACGAGTTTGTCCGCATTCTTTGGATGTGTCAAAAGGTCAATCATCCCAATGACACCATCACAAAAAAAGAACTCTAAAGAAGCTTTTGACTGTACGCGCACAAGACCTCGTCTCCAGTTACGGTGAGGATCTGGGATGCGTTCATCGACGTATTTTTCAACGTCTCGCGCATTTCTGAAAACCACAACGTCGTCACTGAACTTTGAACCAAGGTTCAAGATGAGGAGCAACTTATCAATAGCACTTTTGGACAGATTGGAGGTAAGGAGGAAATGAGCGAATGCATCTGCAAAATTGAATGTGTCGCTCTCACCTACTGATGCCGCCCCACCATCCCCTACGCCATCAGCTTCAGCCCTCTCCTCTGTGTGGGTTTCGGGCTCAGGAATGGTGGGACTTGAATTAGGAGGAGGAGGTTGCGGGGTGTCAGGCATGGGTGCAGTTGCTGTGGGTATGTTCAACATAGGCCGTGGCGTGGTAGCTTGCGTGGTGCGTGGAAGTTGCATGGAGCGTGAAGATTCAGCGGTCGCAGAACGATTTGCGGCGGTGGCTCGGCACGTTTCGCCATTTTGATGGTTCGTGAGCGGACCCCTACCAGAGAACCCGGCAGCTCCGCACACTCCGCAATTGTAAGCCATCTGCTATAAGAAGAGATGGGAGGGTGGTGGTGAGGGGCGGGCGGAGGGGAGGTGAGGAGGGAGGAGTAATGAGAGACTGCTGAGGGTGGAAGGATCCCTGAACGAAGGAGCGGGGGGAGAAGGAGGCAGCTGAGTGCAAACAGCCAAGGGTATCAGGCAGAGGGAAGGCAGGGCGCTTACGAGGGCGGCACAAGCTTACGAGGGCGGCGGGTGTAAGAGATGGTGACAGGGGAAGGGTGGGAGACGGGGGAAACCGGGGGCGACGGGTGTATGAGAGGATGACAGGGAAAAGGGTGGGAGATGGATGGAAACATGGGCAAAGGGGGAAGGGGTGGGTGACGGGGAGAAACGAGGGCGACGGGGCAGGAGTAGGTGACGAGGGCGGGGGTCAAGAAAAGGCGGGGGTCAAGAAAAGGTGGGTGGGGAAGGGGAGGGCGAGAGGGGAAAGCTAGAGGCGACGGGGGAAAGCGAGTGCGACGGGGGAAAGGGTGGGTGACGGGGGCAAACGAGAACGATGAGAGAAGGAGTGGGCGGCGGGGGAAAGTGAGAGAGACGGGGAAAGGAGTGGGCGGCGGGGGAGAGCGAGAGAGACGGGGGAAAGCAATGACGACGGGGGAAAGCGAGGGCGACGGGGGAAGCAAGGACGACGGGGGAAAGCCAAAGGCAACGGGGGAAAGCGAGGGCGACGGGGGAAAGAGTGGGTGACGGGGGCAAACGAGAACGACGGGAGAAGGAGTGGGCGGCGGGGGAAAGCGAGAGGACGGGGAAAGGAGTGGGCGGCGGGGGAGAGTGAGAGAGACGAGGGAAATCAATGACGACGGGCGAAAGCGAGCGCGACGGGGGAAAGCGTGTGCGACGGGGGAAAGAGTGGGTGACGGGGGCAAACGAGAACGACGGGAGAAGGAGTGGGCGGTGGGGGAAAGCGAGAGAGACGGGGAAAGGAGTGGGCGGCGGGGGAGAGTGAGAGAGACGAGGGAAATCAATGACGACGGGGGAAAGCGAGTGCGACGGGGGAAAGCGTGTGCGACGGGGGAAAGAGTGGGTGACGGGGGCAAACGAGAACGACGGGAGAAGGAGTGGGTGGCGGGGGAAAGCGAGAGGACGGGGAAAGGAGTGGGCGGCGGGGGAGAGTGAGAGAGACGAGGGAAATCAATGACGACGGGCGAAAGCGAGTGCGACGGGGGAAAGCGTGTGCGACGGGGGAAAGAGTGGGTGACGGGGGCAAACGAGAACAACGAGAGAAGGAGTGGGCGGCGGGGGAAAGCGAGAGAGACGGGGAAAGGAGTGGGCGGCGGGGGAGAGCGAGAGAGACGGGGGAAAGCAATGACGACGGGGGAAAGCGAGGGCGACGGGGGAAGCAAGGACGACGGGGGAAAGCCAAAGGCGACGGGGGAAAGCGAGGGCGACGGGGGAAAGAGTGGGTGACGGGGGCAAACGAGAACGACGGGAGAAGGAGTGGGCGGCGGGGGAAAGCGAGAGGACGGGGAAAGGAGTGGGCGGCGGGGGAGAGTGAGAGAGACGAGGGAAATCAATGATGACGGGGGAAAGCGAGTGCGACGGGGGAAAGCGTGTGCGACGGGGGAAAGAGTGGGTGACGGGGGCAAACGAGAACGACGAGAGAAGGAGTGGGCGGCGGGGGAAAGCGAGAGAGACGGGGAAAGGAGTGGGCGGCGGGGGAGAGTGAGAGAGACGAGGGAAATCAATGACGACGGGGGAAAGCGAGTGCGACGGGGGAAAGCGAGTGCGACGGGGGAAAGCGTGTGCGACGGGGGAAAGAGTGGGTGACGGGGGCAAACGAGAACGACGGGAGAAGGAGTGGGCGGCGGGGGAAAGCGAGAGAGACGGGGAAAGGAGTGGGCGGCGGGGGAGAGTGAGAGAGACGAGGGAAATCAATGACGACGGGGGAAAGCGAGTGCGACGGGGGAAAGCGTGTGCGACGGGGGAAAGAGTGGGTGACGGGGGCAAACGAGAACGACGGGAGAAGGAGTGGGTGGCGGGGGAAAGCGAGAGGACGGGGAAAGGAGTGGGCGGCGGGGGAGAGTGAGAGAGACGAGGGAAATCAATGACGACGGGCGAAAGCGAGTGCGACGGGGGAAAGCGTGTGCGACGGGGGAAAGAGTGGGTGACGGGGGCAAACGAGAACAACGAGAGAAGGAGTGGGCGGCGGGGGAAAGCGAGAGAGACGGGGAAAGGAGTGGGCGGCGGGGGAGAGCGAGAGAGACGGGGGAAATCAATGACGACGGGGGAAAGCGAGGGCGACGGGGGAAGCAAGGACGACGGGGGAAAGCCAAAGGCGACGGGGGAAAGCGAGTGCGACGGGGGAAAGAGTGGATGACGGGGGCAAACGAGAACGACGGGAGAAGGAGAGGGCGGCGGGGGAAAGCGAGGGTGACGGCGGAAAGAGAGTGAGCGACGGGGGAAGGAGTGGGTGTCGGGGGCAAGCGACAACGACGAGAGAAGACGTGGGCGGCGGACAAAAGCGAGGGCGAGGGTGTAGCTACAAATCACACCTTGGGAGATCACCGTGACTTCAAGGCAACCTTGCCGCCGAGTCGCAATAATCTCGCGGTTTAGCCGCCAACAGGGGTCGCTAGTGAAGCCTCTCCCAAAGTTCAACCCTTAAATCGCAGGTAACCGCACGGATTTGTCGCGCAAGGAAAATGCTATGGTTTGTCGGGCAAGGAATTTTCGAGTTTGGGAAAAAGCACGAATTTGGAATTTGGAATTCCAGACACAACACGTCGAGCAGAACAGAGGATGGAGTTCATTTCCCCCTTAAGCAGAACTGTCGAGAGTTTTGGGGCCAAGGCTGGGAGTCGCTGGGGCGTAAAAATCTGCCCGTTTCCCGAAAGGCTGAGACCAAAAACAGCGTTTATAAATACAGTTACAAACCGAAACGCCCCCTTGCTAAGATCTGACACATGGTGCCGTTAAAATATCAGCCACTTAATACAGTGGCAGGATGGGTTATCAGATCGCAGGGAAATGCAAACATCACTTCAGTTCGCAATGAAACACTTTAAGCTAGACATCACTTTAGGCATACGGACTACCCACTCGAAACCTACCCGTGAACACTTCAAACCGACCCGCGACCAAAAATGAATGTTACAAAGCGACACGGCTGGTCAAACGCGGGTGAACGAGTGGGAATGCGCCAAATCACCAAAATGCGAATTAGCGCGACTCGCAAAAAAACACGCAGCGATACAAAACTGCATTGACTAAATTGTGGCGGGAAACACACGTGTCAACCAACGTAATCAACCTGGTCTTGTAAGACAAAACCAACGGACGCGCTACATAGTAACATACTGCATGCACAGTATAACAACCAGAATAGTAAAATCACTATAACTGTCCCATACAATACCACAATAACACATGCACAACCCTAATTGGCGTGCCTGTACATGACAATTAAGCAAAATTGTCCGTCGTCATGTGTATACATATACATACAATCACAAAGAATACTTCGGATTTTTACATAGCAAATCGACTGTTAAATCGGGAATCTAACATACAATAATCGCACCGTACCAATTTCAAAAATGTAAACAACAAACTCTAACACGTATGACGAAAATCAAAGCGTAGCGTCTGGAATTTTAAAACGATTCACCTTCCTTGCTAGTCACGTAGCATAAGCTAATGTAAAGCAAAAAACCTGCACACACTGTAAACGAGCCAAACAATATCAGAAATACTACAGAGGGGAAAAAACGCGATGTACCAACACTACAGGAAGGCAAATGCCACCTGCAACGAAAAAGGAAACCAGTAACCAGATCGCGACTGCCGTGTCTGCAAATCAGAACCGGCCAGAATAGGCAAACAGTGGCAAAGTTACGAAGGGAGAGTACGTGGCACAATTTACGGCTGCATCTCATCCAAACCAGCTCGACACAGACCAAACCCTAAACTCTCGAACCTCGGCCGTTCCAGTCAGCCCGTTAAATGGTTGAAAAAAACAGAAAATAAACGATCAGTCGTCAGTTTCGATCATTTCGAGTTCCACCGACACATCTAGCAGGAAACCTATGGTTTCCATTTGCCCCCCCCCCTCAGAGTGCTCAGGGGCAAAACCCTTGGGCCTGTGTTTGGCTGACAAGGGATTTTTCCGATGGGGTCGCCAGATCGCAAAATGCTGCGCTTGGAGCTTTTTTCCAGATAGCGCGTTTTGAGACGTCTCTAAACTAGATTGCTGCGCTTGGAGCTTTCTTTCAGAGCGAGATCGACCCGAGCAGCGAGCGACTGCACGCGCTAGTCGCTCAAAATGCGGCGCCACTCTGTAGGACGCCGTGACGGAAGCAGGAGAAGCGCCGGATACGCCAAAAAAAAAATAAAAAAATCAGCATTCGGTATCAGTGCGCTTGTGATCGCTTGTAAATCCGGATACCACAAGCGCCTGTGATAACTAGAAACGCCACGCGACTAGATGGTGGGAGGAGCATGTGAGCATATGTGTGTGCCCGACATTGCAAGAGCCCACTTGAACCTATTCTACGACAGTAGTTCAACTTGCATGGTTTGCCTAGTTGATGATCGGTTACCACTCGCCTTATTCAACGAAGAAGCACGAAGTTGCAAAAGTACAGCTAGTGGGGTACTACAAACAAATGTTGGTCGACAAACCAACAAAGGAATACGAACCATGTTTAGGATGGCAACAGCTGACTCACAAGCTCAGGCATCGAATTTGGAGTCGCGTCCCAAATTCGTACCTTGATTAAGGCCGTGCTTGGGCGAAATGAGAACGACGCAGGGCCTGCTTGTTTGGCTGTTCACTTCGCGGAACTAATAGGTGTGCGAGATAAATTTCATGTCGCAAAACACGGGTGGTAACCTACAAATGGCAATCGGCTGTGTATTCTGAAATGGAACGGTTGTGTCGAACTCGATATTCGAGTACTGGGTCGTAATCGGACCTCCCGTATGACTCCTTCCTACTACACCTGATGCCTATTTCAGTCCCCTTCTCCATCCTTCCTGTCAGGATCGTTGACGCCTCAATCGACAAAAGTCTGCTTGCTGCTGTCGATGACGTTCTCCTCGTTCTCACGATTCCAACGATATGCGCAGCAGTTAATTCTGAGAACGTTTCACTAAGTTTTCAATCTCACCAGTGCTTGTCTTGCACCTTCAATCAAAGAATTTCCAAGTGTATATTTCAACTGACTGGTACAACTAACTTATACTCATCCCAATGCACCCACGTAACTGAACCCAAAACGTGTTCCACAAGCAACCTCCCTTGTAACCAAACTTACCCCACACTCCAAGTTTCACGTCGCGTCGCACACGCAACCACGACTCCTTCGTCGAACACTCCCGAAGTCCGAATTTCAGAAACTTGTGAACCACGCCATCGTTTCAACCCAAACTCCTACCCCGTCAAACCAATTCCTTCACTTTCCCATCTCTATTCCCCCGTAACTTCCTTACGTTCCCATTTCTTCCTTACGTTTCTACTCCTTTCCCCTCAGCGTAGACCACACGCCAAGTAATCTTAGACGCTTCTTAGTAATTCCTTCTCGCTTCTTCCACACGTCACCGCCATAAGTCGCCGTAGGTCCGCATTTCTACCCGTCGTTAGTGTGGTTCGTAGAAACCACTCCAACACTTCCCTGTACTCCTCTCTCGAGCGCGCGCTCCCCATGGGGAGAATGGGACTGTATTTGGGTAGCCTAGCGTGTCTTGTCTGGGAAACTCGAAGAACTTATTCGAGGTCAAGAATATCTTAGTTTTGTCGTGGGCTAGTAACGCGCGGGCCGTTGGCTGTGAATGTCGACCACTGGGCGTATGGAGTGGCAGCGAGCGTGTTCAGAGTGGGCGGTTGAGTGAGCATTAGGGTGTACAGCTATGTCTAGCCACCATAATCTGAGTCGTGACGCATACTAGGCGTGCATTGCAAGAGCGCTATCTCCCATCGCAAGAGAAGGCGACTCGAATCGCCTCTACGAACCACTACGACTCGCGGCGGCGCCATTCCCTTTGCGACTCGTACTATACTCCGCGCATCCTGTGCTCTCGTCACTATTTTTTGGTCCGCTCGCTCCGTCGCAACACTTTCGAATTTGCCGCGTCGCGCCATCACGCGCCACGCGCTGCAGATCGACGTACCGCGCCGCCGCTGGGACACTTCGAGCCGCGGAAACGATAGTCTAAGAAACCCTAGTTAGAGGTAAGCCTCCCCATCCATTCCCCAGTCAGACCTTCGCTTTCAAATCTTTGCAAGCCTGAGGCTCACAACTCATGGTCTAGGCGCTTCTAGTCTGTCAGAGGGGGTCGATGCGCAACTGTTGGTTACACACGGAGTTGCTTACGGATTCTGCACACTGCCAAGAGACTAGCAGAGCCCCTTGACGCATTCGTTGCCCTTATTAACATTGCTGCTTTCGCCCTGGTTCACGGAGTCACGCTGTCACTCACCCAGGCAATGACCGTCCAAGCATGTGACCCAGCTCAGGCTGAGAACTAGCCTGGACCCTGCGGCCCTTTTTACATCTAAGCTCATTAACCATTATACCATTATGCTCTCACTGACCTGGGCTCTCACTGACCTGGGCTCTCACTGACCTGGGCTCTCACTGACATGGGCTCTCGTTGACCTGGGCTCTCGTTGACCTAGTCTCTGATTGACCTGGGCTCTCATTGACCTGGGCTCTCGTTGACCTGGGCTCTCATTGACCTGGGCTCTCAGTGACCTGGGCTCTCGTTGACCTGGGCTTTCATTGACCTGGGCTCTCGTTGACCTGGGCTCTCATTGACCTGGGCTTTCATTGACCTGGGCTCTCATTGACCTGGGCTTTCATTGACCTGGGCTCTCATTGACCTGGGCTCTCATTGACCTGGGCTCTCATTGACCTAGGCTCTGATCGACCTGGGCTCTCATTGACCTGGGCTCTCGTTGACCTGGGCTCTCATTGACCCGGGCTCGGACTGACCTGGGCTTTATTTTAGGCTCTCATCGTTTCCCTGGTGTGTTTCGTTGCCCTGGTTCAGACACTCACGCTGTCACTACGCAGTGAAGAATTACCACGATTTGAAATGGATCTCTTAGCGCTGCTAACATAGTAGAAACAGCCTAAAGCTAATCGCTAGGCGCCCAAGTTAGAAACAGTCTATGCTTGATCTCAGGGTGCGAAGGTAGAGCGACCCAAAGCTGATGACTAGGTTATCTCTGACCTAACTGCAAGTGACCCCACATTTGTCGAGGCTAACCTATGACTGACCTAATCTGTGTCGGGCTTGCTTGTGCTTGGCCTAGCCTGGGACTAGGCATGAGCAAATAGCAACTTGTTTTAGTAACGAGGCGACGCGAGTTTTACTCTTTACTCGTCCAAAAAGGCGAGTAACCTACCTATTTGTCACGGATAAGAAAATGATCACAGCGAGGCAAGTGATACTCGCCTCGCCAGGAACACCTGATGTTGAGTTCATTATTTTTCATGGAAACATTGATCTGCAACCTCTCCCCCCCCCCCACACCCACCCCCCCCCCCTCCCCCCCTCATGAAAGTACTTTCATTTTCGCCTATATTCGCCTGTTAGTGTCCTAGCATCTGACTGACCTACCTTGTCATTGTCCTACCTGCGAGTGACCTGGTTTCTGTTTGTTCTTGCTTGTGCTTAACCTTACTGGTGATTGGCCGAGCTTGGGACTGTTGCAGCCTCCGACTGGCCTAATCTGTGAGTGGCCTAGCTTGTAGCTTACCCAGCTTGTCACCAACTTGGCCTCTGAATGACTATCATAGGCCCTGACTAACCTAGCGTGTGGGGGGGCTAGATTCGATGGACCTATCTTGTGAGGGTCTTGCCTCTGACTGACCTTTCGTGTGACTGACCTTTCGTGTGACTGACCTTTCGTGTGACTGACCTTTCGTGTGACTGACCTAGCCTTTGACCAACCTAGTTAGCTTAGCTCCCAACTGGCCCAGTTCCTGACGGATCTGAGTTATTCTGTAAGCAGTGGCTAGATTTGATTCACAATCACATATGACGATGGAGATTTGTTAAGGTTCGCTGCTTGTTTGGGATTTGAATCGCTACCAGGACTGAAAATCTCGTCTTGATTTGGCTGGGATACAGCTAGGCTAGGGATTTGAATCGCTACCAGGACTGAAAATCTCGTCTTGATTCGGTCAATGGATTGGGACGGAGGTGGCGATATGAATGTAGAGCATTTCTTCTCTTTTTTTTTGCGTCAATCTGACAATATGCCAATTTGCACGGCGGGGCGATAAAAGTTGTTCTTTAATCGCCCTGTAGTATTCTTGTATAGTGTAATGCGTAGTTCCGAGTGCATTATGGATTGCCAAAGGCCAGTGGATTTACACAGTATGCTCGCTAGTGACAGACAA